CAAAAAGAAGTCCTCCAGGTCTATTGGCTCAGCTCACTATGCACCACCATATTGTCTCTATAGCCGTGATATGGTGACACTCAACAGGCAACACCATGATCATTGTACATAACAGCCAGTTCACATTGCCAAAATGATCAGACCTGCAAACTGGTTTGTTCTCATGTAACTTATGTTGTATGAAATATATTAATACTGTTATCTTCAAGTTTGTGTGACGTCAGACACAAGTCATCGGATAAATCCAGGTCTTCCAGGCTCTTTTCTGCGGTTCAGCGTATCCCCCTCTTCTCGCCCAGCACTGTTTGTTGCATGGTCCAGTCGACCGCAATCAGGAATGTCATGGGTGGCAGTAGACAGCCTTGTTTTACCCCTGTCCTTACTTCAAAAGCATCACTGAGCTACCTATTGTGAGCCACTTGGCACGTGGCGAGTAGCACAATACCCGCCATTAAAATATTAGTTACGACCAGGGAAGTGAGTCAAGAGCCTTCTATTCCAAGGCATTGGTTTATGCTGCTTGGTAGTGCACGTCCGTGCTGGAGCCCCTATGAAGACGGATTATATTTCATAAATGTTCGACAGAATACTCTTGAAATTGATCTGTCTAATGTTAGTATCGGGACTCGGTCCCTGAGTTTTGTATAAGCGTTTCCGGGTTCTGAGTCCATCCTTTGACGGGATGCTCACTATGCTTTGACCAAGGGGGTTAGCCTTTGGAGGGGGATTCTCGGGAACTGCAAAGTCTAATGGAGGAATAACATCAAGGTCCACAAGTGCCTGTTTCTTAAGTAAGGCTGGCGGCTAACCACACTTTTTGCAGCCAAGTGTTTTTTCTATGCTTTCAGGTGCCTCTAAAATTTTATGACAAAAGATTAAATCATTCTTAAAGTGCTTTCTACGTTGACACGGTGTTCTACCTCGCATAACAGTATTTTTTGGAGTTACAATTAGCTCTAATGGTATTTTTCTGCTTAATAAGCTTTTAACTTCAGATGGCATTGGAAACTTGAAGACAATGGGGCAACTGCCTTGTGAAAGATTTTGCGTTAACGTTTACAATAGCAGGGTATAGTTAACATGCCGCAAGCTCGTAGGATTTTACTTTCAGCAGTTTCCAAGTTCACGCTATCGGGTGCATTGTACACTACAGCTTGCTGAGATGATACTAGTCGTCTTATTACCTCAGTAGCAATGAAATCTGCTAAACTGTTGGCCCTCTCCAAGTTGCCACTTGAAACGGTGTTAGCTCAGTCACGCAAACAAGCTAAAGGAGAGGATTTCTCCAGCGTCCCCTGAGTATCATTAATGATAACCCTAATACTGGCAATATGATTTTGGTTTTGGTCAAGTCCTGCATCAATTACGGAGGCAGTGTCTGAGGCTCTGATTACCGGAGTGCGGAAAATAATTTCTCCTGCATCTAAACTACAGGTTGAGGCATCTACCTCATAGCATTTAAGAACGGATCATGAAGCGCTCGTTTTAGAATCTCCACTACGACTGTCTGTTCTCAAGCGCTCAGCTTTATTTCTTCCCGTAGTTAATGTATGGATTTTGGTTTATTCTATGTGGCTTCAACGAGAGGTTATTTAACAAGGAAAGCTAAACGTATTCGCCAACCAAATATGACGTACGTGTGTACCACTACTTTTCAGATAGTACCAGATGTCACAGTACACAGAATGATCAGTTCAGAGCAAGTGACAGAAATCACGTTAAAGTGTGACACAGTTTCGAGCGTACCACTCACTTGAAGTGGTTGTGCCCGCGAAACCAGCATGCGTTTTGCATAAATCTTGTCAAACGAAATATATCACTCCCCTAAAGCAATCTAAAAGGGAAGTTACAAGAGTAAAGAAGAGTTTGACTGAATCGTCGTATGTATGTATGGAATATACTATAAATTAAAATTGAATTAGATTAGATTGAGGAGGAAATAGGCGTAAGATGATGAAAACAGGATAACTTCGTTCCCGCCCTGCCCCGAAAAGTGCACCGGACATCACTGACATCGGAACCAGTATGAATACTATTTGTATATCCTGCAGAGACAAGGAATACAAACAGGTAGGTGGAGTAGTAATGTCCACGAGTAACCACTTTGAGAATGAAGGAGATAGTGAGGCCGTACTGACGGAGTCACCAGGCTCCATGTGGTGCCACTCCAAGTTCAAACTTATCGAGTGCGACCAAGTCATCGTAGCGGAGGATTCCGATGCCTCAAACCTCAACCTTAAGCATGATAGGGCAACTTCAAGCCGAAAGTTCAAATGGAACCTATTCAACGCCACAAAGAAGGCTGAATCGCATGAAAAATTGGCGACAACACTCGTTGAAAGCAAAGAACCCTGAAAGCCCAAATTAATTTGTGGTGGAGGTAAAATCAACTCACTGAAGTGCTTGCATTATGAGAGATCCGAGTGGAGAGAGCCTCTCTAGAGTGGAGGTTGCCCAAGCTCGTAGCACCACCTTCGACAAATGACCAATCATTCCGTCATTCAGTCAAAATTATCAACTGCCTGAACAACCTTCAACACTACTCTACGCGGGAGGGCCTCACAAAACACGGGCAACCTCTGCTATCGTCCCCAAAAGTTGTCAAAGCTCCGAGCGGGAAAACCATAGGGGTGTGGTAACATTCGGCTGTGTTGAAACAGCGTGCGAGTGCCTCACGTGATCCACCCTGCAAGCTCTTTCGGTACTCCATAAAGTAGTGAATTCTTCTACGAGAGTGGGAGCCTGCTCTTCTCTCTTTCATTATCAAAGTAGAAGAGGTGCGGTACCCAAAATCAATGACACTTACCGTGCTAACGGGGAGTCTGGTGAATGACCATTTCAGGGGCTGCCTGGATAGAAACGGCAGTGATAGGTGGTGTTTGCCCAGGGTTTCGAAAGCGTAGCTCCTTTTCTGCGAATCTTATGTCAGGCGGTGGTAACTGGATGGCATGCGGAGACTATCAAGTCCCTGTCAATGTGGTTTTCCTGGGTTTTGTTAAAGCCCTTGACGCAGCCTCAAATGGCATTCGCCTATGCAGGATGACAAGTTTTGGTATTGGCGGTCAGGAGTAATCTTAGCTGGAAGAATTTTCAAGTGACGGAGAATTCTGCGCAAAAGTTAACCGGATTGGCTCAGCCTGGAGAACATCATCGTTCGGTGTATCACGCGGAGCTATTCTTGCCCACATGCCACTCCTTCTTTCGTGAATGACCCTTCATTGAACCTCAGCTCCCTTATTCCACTTTGCGCTGAAGATATTAAGTCACTGAAGGCTATGATGTTCAAAAGAAAATCAAGTCCGCAACAACGTGACCCAGAGCTGCGTGCAGAGTGGATCAGTAGGAACGGAATCGGTTTTAATCAGAATAAATGCAATATTGTTTCCTTCCACCCTCGCAAATTACGGCTTGCATTCTAACGTCTCAGTCATACGCAAGCCTGCTACGTGACTGCGGGGAAAGATCCAAGATCAACGCCAAATGACAGGCCTGACGCCCATGCCAATTATCCGGGAGATGCCTCCTATACAGTACTGCCCTTCATGGACAGACAACTGTGTGCCCTCCCTCTGAGACCCATTCTGAAACCTAGATATGAGTTCACCCAGACGTCTGCCATATCATTGAGCTACCATACCTGATAAGAGACGTTAACCCCTGAGATAATCTGGAGGGGGCAACGAAGGGTGCTATGAGAATGAGGCAAAACCCCACGACGGGTCTAGGCGTCTACTGTCTTTGTTGCTGTGTGCTGCACAGCAATTTGATAACGGTATACAAGTTACCAAGCGATCCAAGTCTCTCAGTAACTCTTCATGGCCACTGGAGGGCAGCGTCTGTCGAAATTTCTGCTACCCTATCTATCAACAGCTTGAAAAAGGGGCTGGACAGCTACGCAGCGAAAAATGGCTCGCGCACATCCAGTTGGGATACGGGCCAAGTCACTACGACCGACTAACTCTGCAGCACTGCAGCACGGTCAACCTTGTCTATAATCCACTGCACTGCTTCTGCTATAGTATAATTCAATCTACCTCATATTTCACTGTTAGGCTTTTTGTCCAGTCACCATACTCCCACTAATAAATTTACCATTAATATATGTGTCGTCCTGTAGTATCAAGTACTTCCCCAGAATCATTAGCCTAGGGTTCGATGGGACTTGTCATCGATGCTGGCCTTCATAGTTTTATCGGACTCGGTAGGCTGGGAACACACGGCCAAGAATCCATGCCATTTGGCACGCTGTCACGTAACACTGTACTGTTCATAATCGATCCTTTAGCCGGCGAGTCGGAAAGCATCGGTATTTTGGCAAGATCTCTCAGATGTACTATTTCACCTGATTACTACACTATGTTCTTCCTTGGCTTCGTATCGTGGGTATATTTTAAGTAAGAATAATTTGTGACTGGCCTCAGCATCTCTGAAAAAGTTCGCTTAAGGACAATTCCTAAAATCCCTTCTACAAACCTAACCGCTCATTCTCCTCTCTCTAGCTTCTATTTTGTCCGACATATTAGCGTTATTCCTGCCGCAGTTCTCCTTTCCATTTCTCCTGAACCTACCCTGGCTTCTTCTCTCCTTTCGTTCTGCATCATTTAAGGTTGTTTTTTTCTCACTTCCTCTCCGTTGTTTTTGCTGGACATCTTTTCACTCTTTCCATATTCTTAACAAGGCCAGTCCGTAAAATGAACTGGTGGTACTACAGTTGGGGCGCCTATCTGCACCCTAGTCCTTCGACAAATTATGCTACCTACGCAAATTTAATAAACGCCAAGCCATGCATAGGGTACATCAAAGCTACAGAGAGGGACAGAGTAGACCTGCTGCATCGGAACCGGTCCAAAACCCGAAACTGTCTCCCAAAACCAAGAAGAAAGTGTTAGGAAACCAACTGGTTTTCACAAGCTTGTCAAAGGTTATCGGAAATTGGATTGTTTGTATGCACTAATTGTGACCTTATGTTCAATCCTGACAAACCGGCTAATTTTTAATTCACTGAGGTAAGTGAGGTTCATTGTTGCGCTATGCTTTCGTGTGCCAGGACTCATTTATATTCCCACGCTACTTTAGTTTTATGATATAAGGTCTAGAAACCGAAACCCAAAACGCTGTTTGTCTAACTTAGACAACTGGTCAAAATGCCTATATAGGCATATGATGCAACATATATATAGGCATATTCCTACATTTGCATATACTATGTCATTTATATCTTGCCAACGATTGATCAGTCCAAGTCTACCAGAAACTGGAAACTCGCCTTAGAAGTAGTTGTCACTTCAGCCCATCAAATTCCTCAATATGGAATGTATTTGAATACGGTAAGTCACTGAATCAGGATGTTTATTTCATATCTTCACCAACAATGTATACTACTCTAAATCTCAAGACTTTTAACACAACCTTCAATATTAAGGATATTCAGGCAACCAACCCATGTTAATCCTTGGAGTAAATATCTCCTTGAAGATTCAGTATAACCAGGGGTTACTAATCGTGGATACTCATTTTGGGATTTTGTACTGTGTATTGAGTATCTATGTTATTCTTTTGTAGCAAATTAGTATCTTTAAAGACGAGTGAGTCGGTCTGTAATCTGGAATTCACTTTTTCCCGGAAGTAGTGTCATGAGGTGCTCATAAGTAATGTAATTCAACTCTGTACGCATGTACAGGGCTATGAGCTTAACTTGTATATAAACTTAATACATCATGTAGGCAAAGGTGAAGTGAAGGAACTGCGAACAGTCAATCTAATAACCTTAAGAAGGCTACTAGGTTTCTGCTAACGTTGAAAATGTTTCAAGTAGAGTAAACACTTATGTAGTGTAACCGTAAAAAGCTGTAGGTGGGATGTATCTGTTTTGCATATTGCAAGCATTTCTCAGTTTCTTATAGGTGTTCAAATGGAAAGTTTAACTGATTTCGGTGGACTTATTTCTTTGGGTGGCTGTCAGAAGTTTTATTTCAATCGAGATCTGCTCAGATATTTTTTGCTAAGCTTTCCCGAGAATGACTCAGTTGAAACAACCCAGTTCGTTTCTTAACTGCTGTCTTGTCTTCAAACTTAAAACGAGCTAGGGGTTGTTTACACCGATTCCTTATGGCACTCTAATGTCTTGGGTTACTTCCAGATTACTGCCTTGTCAGCGTTAATCTTACGTGGAGCGCAGAGAACCAAGACTACAGTAGTGGAGCAGTAGACCAGATAAGTACCTTTTCTTAGTGTTTTATATAGCATTCCTAACGAAGACGCTGACAAAGTGCTGAGCTTTTTGAACGTTTTGGGTATAAACTTGAAAGTTTTCCATAGTGCGTTTAGCACCTGTCAAAGGCAACTAAAGCTTCAGGACTAATTTAAAACTAATGCTAGCCTAAATGTCGAAAGTAAAACAGTGAAATATGTTAACCCTTTTGAGACAAACAGAAAAAATCAACATAAGACCTCACACAGAAGTGAGTCGGTTCAAGTTGCCACACTTCACATCAGCATGCGAAAAACAAGTGGGTGACTTCAAAGTAGATCAAGATATGTAATAGGAAAAAGGATTTGAAAGTCAGGTTCGAGTTTCAGAAGACTTCAGAGTGAGTACATCTGCACCATTGTGACAAGTTTCCAGCCATGTCACCAGTTTTCAATCACTGACTCCTATCGTCTTGAAGGCCCTGAACATGTGGTCTACTCCTCTCTAAATGGCTCAGCAACAATCAGAGACTTTATAGGCTGATACAATGTCTTGTTCTGGCCACTCTAAGCCTCCTTCAACCTAATTCAACTTAGGTTAATATTGCATTCAGAAGTAGACAGTGCCTTGCCCTGCAAAGTTCACCTATTTGGAGAGTTTTGTCAGTTCAGAAGGTGTAATCTTTTTTCGGATATAAAGTGCTTGTTCATCACTCACCAATTTAATCCATTTGTGGCGCCGCTAAGATGTGTTATTCCCTATCAAAGGACAAACATATCGCAGCAGTTCTCTCTGTTATACAATTGTGAATGAAAAAGTTACAGGTGTCTGATCATTGTCACCATAGCATAACTTTTGTGTAGTAGAATCATCTGAGCATAGAGTACTAGGTAAGAAAAGCAAGTTGGTCGATGAAGTTATTCACCTTGACTGAAGGATGTAGCATGGATATATATTGTGTATCCTGCAACACCGCCTACTTTCACGTTCCATGTTAACCGAATGAAGATTAGGCCGTAAGAAAGCTATAGGTTATTAAACTAAGACTTGGAGCTAGTTCATGAAGTCGTTTGCTGCTGATCTGGGCCATACAGGGAGGCGTAGAATGTCTAGTCTCCTAAAGACGTTTCAAGTCAGTGGTGAGATACTATTGGTGACATGGCGCAAATTTACAAACCATTTGTTGTCTTCAACGTTTTGAGCATTTTTATTAACCGTCATATAATCCTCTCTCTTGTCTACTTTAACTCCATTCATTTTGAATGCACTTCTTATTTTTGCGTTTTTGTAAAGTATGGTGACTGAAACCGATAGACTTTAGAGTTGAATTGTCTACTTGGACTCATTTGAAAACTGTTGGTCGACATACCATCTACTTTAAGAGCCACCTGACTGATACTTCGGCTACTTGCTACTCGACACAGTTAGCTATTTAAAAGCATTTTAAGACGAGGGTGGACTCCCGAATTTTGACCGTACCAGGTTGTTTAGGTGACAAAACTTATTTAAGATCTTGCGATCAGAAAATGCTTCACCCAGTCTTGAAGTCGGACTTTACCACTAAGCTATCAGACTATAGATATACGTAATCAAAATGCTATATTAACGTTTAGGTGGGTACCGATTCAAAATACAAGCAAACGACCTTCATTCATAGGTTTCAGATCAGAAATCTTAGGAAGAAAGATTTTGAGCTGCTTCTTTTGTTGATTTCTGAAACTGGAAACTCGACTGCTTGATTCACTATCCTTGTTTTAGTCTTATTCAGGTTTGTACTTGAGTGGTTTTATATCTATTTCTAAAGAACTCGGGAACTCCGCTTCAGTTTTCAAAATGTGTTCATCACTTCTCATTTTCTCACATCTCGAATTTTCCATCTTATCACTTTTGACTGCAATTTGTGAAAGTTTTCATTTTAATCCTCCCAGTCTACTCGCTTACGTCACTGCGTATTTTGTTTTTGGAATTGTCAACTGGAGTATCTCAATCACTTATTTAGTTATCATAGTATTCACAGTCATTATCGTCACAAATAAAATGAATCCATTGTTTTTTATGAGCATTGCTTTCATTCTGATCAGAATGGCGAAAAGAATTGTTAGCTACCTTAAATTCATTAAACAGGGTTATGCTTTGAAATCACTTGCTGGAAAGGTGTACTTAATACGCTTACTGAAGTGTTGAAATCTATTTACCGAAACTTAAGTCAAAGTCATACAATCACCTGTTTCCATTGTTCTGTAAAATCCTTACACTCAGATCTTGTGTCACAAGTATTTATAAATATCTTGTAGATTGAAATTAGGTGAGAAATTTCCTATTTTTCTGTAGAGCCAATTGCTCACTGGCTGTATGAGGAATTTTTGCTGACCAATATCTTTGTACGGGGTATTCGTTTCCGTCTGTGAAACGTTCTGTTGCAATAGACGTAGTAAGATATTTGTGTATCGCTACCGAACGAAAATTCTAATATTTCCTTTGGTGAAAGTAATGTGTAGTCATATTTTAGATTGCTGATATCTGCACATTTTGGCTTTCTTAATTCCCCTAATTATTTCCATACTTTTTCTAAACAATACACTGAAAAACTGTTTTATATTTCAGCTTTCTTTGAATCCTATGTTTCCGCTAATTGGCTATGAACGTTTTACTGTTCGGGATAAAGTTAGCCATAGCATGCCGGTTTGTTAAGGCTGAGTCGGAAACATATGAAGCGAATTTGGATGAACCATATTACGATGAAGTTTCTCAGAAACAAAAGATCGAATATCACTTTACCCTTTCAAATCGTAGCGTATGATATTAGTGTGCTTTGCATTTTCTTTCAAATTGGATATCATTTTAATAGGAGTTTGTCATTCGAATACATTTGGCCAATTATAACCCAAGGTTGGATTATCCTATATTAGTGGTAATCAAGCAAGTAAATAATGTGATGTCATTCCAAGTACCAGTGGTACTCAATACTATGTGAGTCTTTTCCTATATTATCTGACTCAACTTTATTTATACATATAGACCAGCATATGGAAACGTTAGTCGTACACTTTGTCCGATTGCCGTTCCTTTTGGAGAAGTTCGGAAACTTACAGTCGAACTATCTAACGCTATCAGTTCACCTCAAAAGGTGCGTTACATGTTTCTTGCAGAGTTGGTTCGTGATTTTGATTTGAAGTAGGTTAAATTGCTGTGAAAAAGATTTATTTTTCATCATAGATCGGGTACAGAGAAAAGTATGCTAGTGTCACCTGCCGAACCTGTTTATTTGAGATATGTTTATCCACCCGACAAAAACTCAGCAGAAATCAAAATAGTTTCAGAAAGTGACATATGTATGGTTTTGTCCATCCAAAAACTTCAGGTAGGTCCTCATCTTCCAGCAAAAATTAACCTAATGCGAAAATGTTTTTAGTGTCCTGTTAGCGACTTGTTTGATAATGTGGGTAACACTGGATTACGTCAGACTGTCACCACTCTGGGTGCAGTATCTGCTGATGTAGGTTGATATTTTTACAACCCATTACATTTTACAATGTAGATAACTCAATTTCCCAAGGGATTTTTCGTCGTTCTTGTCTTGAAGCCAACAGATTATGCTTGCTTTGGTATTGAAAATATCATTCCATTTCCAGGTGAGTTGCATCTTACAGATTTTGTGTTACTTTTCATGTGGATAAAATATTTTAAGAAGAAAAAAAGCAACATAATGTACGTTCGCCTTTTAGATGATTTATTAGTTTATAATAAAACCCAGTGAGAATCTCGTTTTGTTAACATGTCAACAGATGTGACGAATTATGTAATTTTTCAGGCATCTTTTTCGTGCTGTAAGTAATGCTGAGGGTAAACGCAGCACTTCGGGTAGTCTAGGTTAATCATCTGCTAGAGGAAGTCTGCATTTTATGAAATTGACTTAGGTACTCTGATGTTTAACCAGTAGGTCATAGGTGTGAACCCTGCTTCACTTGGTAGGTCCGGTAAGGTAGTATCGCTGCTTCCTATTTGGAGGGTGTAGTTTGAAGTCTAGTGAACGAACATTTGCTCAGTAACTGGTTTATCTATTTTATCTGTTATGTCCCTCCCAGTCACTGACTACCTAGACGGTCAATATCACGTGCACTTAGTGAAGGTTGACAGAAGCTTCAAATTTAGCTCAGTAATACATGCAACCAATTCATGAAGTTCCTGTTTACAGTGGGTGGATTAGCGGTAACCTCTTGTATACAGAGATAAGTTAGTGTTTCAAAACCAATTACAGTAGTGCAGCTACATTCATTATCTTGCTGTAAATCTTGACTTTTCCTGTTAATTCAATGTAGTTTATCTTATTGTTCATGTTTTTATGGGTTTTTTGAGTTGCTTATTTTCTTCCTACTAATTTTCAGCTTCTTGAAGTGAGGGTGTATAATTTGGCGTACTGCTTCAACAGTTTAACTGCTGCTGTATTCATTCGGTTTTTTTTGAATCGACTGTTAAGCATATAGCTGATAACATAGGATTACATGTGTGCATTAGTGTGAATGTATTATCAGTGAGCATACCTGACACTATTAGACCAAGGCAAATAAACTGACGAGCAACTTTTGATCAGTTTAATAGATATGATTAAGGACAGTTTGTTGTGTTCGAAAAGTAGTCCGGCAAATGATGCTTTACTGTGATATATCTTACATATCAACCGAAATCGAATCTATCTGTCTAGTTGTATTCTTTATTACAAGCTTGTTAGATATTCAAAGTAGGTTTCATAAGTTCCACCTTTGTAAATGAAAGCTGGCTTTCAAACCTGCTTTAAGAGGGTCAAAGGGATTGTTTTTCTCATATGTGTCTGTTTCTGTACGACACGCTAGCACTGTGTTGCAACTTATTGTCATTTTTATATAAATAGATGATAAGAAATAGTGAAAGAGGTCGATATATTTGGAATTTGGATGTTAACTGATGATCAGCATGGATTAAAAATATGAACTGAAAAGTGATACATGCTTGGAAGACTGATGGAATGTATCTTCATCCTTCTTATCGGTCTTAATCTACTTTAATTAACCTAACTATTAATCAACGACTACTATCCTTGAATACCTCTGGTACTGGCTCATCTGATCCTGCTACCCTTCCTAATTTCAGGTGACTTACAACTTTCTCAGCATTTATTAGGGTTGAAGTGCTTATCTCAGTGTTCCATCTTGGATGCGAATGGATAGCGGGCAACGGAAGAGTAATCGGAGTCCGTTTGAACTGTTCCTTGAAGTGTTCCGTCCGCTGTTTTAGTCGTCTCAGCTGCAAGTAAACTGGAAACCTATCCCTCTCCGTTATCGTGTCACTTACTACTGAGTCTTCTCCCCAAGTTTCCTTGGAACACCTAAATCGCTCTCTACTTTCATCTATCATCGTGGCCTTTTCTATTTCTTCTGCTTTTAATACTAACCATTATTTGCAGTCATTAGTTAGACTCCTTGTCTATACTTTAGTTGTTTTCGTTCTTTATTGTGCTTACAGCCTGTCGGAATGTATTCACATGCATCCGATAATTCAAAAGAAGCTGTTAACATTCACCCCGACCCCCGACCGATAGCTGCTACCTTGACGTGGTGGTCGGGCTTGCATATCACAATGACCCAACGAGCTATGCTGGTGGAACGCTTGTTCCCTCGAGGTCCTACCATACCAGAAAGGTCTGTTGGGTAGTGGTTAGACGAAAAGCAGTTACCGTCATAGTGTAAATTGCTACACTATGATGGGGGTCTGAGGGCGAAGTCGTACTGCTGCTAGCTGGATGGGGTGTGACAGCAGTAAGGTGTTTCCCTTGGATGACCAGCAGTGCCAAGCTGATGCTGCCTTCTCAGTGGAAGGGGGGGTTAGAAAAGGTCGGCCCCAAAAATAACACACTCCACCACGCCCCACGGTCTGCCGGGCCGGCGGTGTTGGTTCACTTGTCGTTTCCTTTCGCTCATCCGGCCCCAAAAATACAAAAATTCAAAATAATCATACTCAAAAGGCTGGGTGTGACAGGCCTCAAGCAGATGTCCGATGGGCTCTGCGGTCACACAAATCTCTTTCAGGTACCTTAAGAAGAAATAGCCTTCCACGGTGTGGGCAGCCGGGAAGTGTCAACCGCCCTCACAACTCTGTCAGCACCCAAGTTTCTTCTGACTGCTATCCTCCTCCTCCATCATTACCTTCTAATCTTCCTTCACGTCTCTTAATTAATGATGCTGCATCATCTTCAATTTCTCCTACCTCTGCAGCCTTCGACAACGATCTGAGTCCACAGAACAGTCCCTGGTCTCCTTAAACCACGCTCCAAATTACATATTGGAGCCTTCAATGTCCGCACCCTCCGTCAAATTGGCCAACAGGCTTCGTTGGCAAAGACTCTAGCAACTCGAGGCATGGATGTGTGCTGTGTTTGTGAGACACGCATACAGGACCCAAGTGTGGTTATTCACCTGACCTCTCCTGACCAATCTGGTGAATCTGCAAAATTCACCCTTCGAGTTTCTGGAGATTCGATAGCTAGCTCTCGTGGTCTTGCAGGTGTAGGTATAGCATTAAGCACCAGGGCAGAAAACTCACTACTAGACTGGATCCCAGTTGATAGTCGCCTCTGCGCTATGAGGCTGAACGGCACAGTGAGAACTAAAAGGAATAGTGAGACTCGCCGTTGTCTCTTTGTAATCTCTGCTTACGCACCCACTGACTGTAGTTCGGATGAAGTGAAGGACGAGTTCTACCATAAACTGTCTAACCTCCTCTCGAAAGCCAAACGTTCGGACGTAGTGGTTGTTGCAGGTGACCTCAACGCACAGGTGGGTAGACTGAGTGAGGCAGAAAGGCACTTAGGTGGCACTTTCGGAATCCCAGCTGAACGTACAGATAACGGTGATCGCCTATTACAACTATGCTCAGATAACCGCCTATTTTTAGCCAGCACAAATTTCAGACATAAAGAAAGGCACTGTCTGACCTGGCGTCCACCGAGCTCGACTCAGCGATGGACACAGATAGACCACATTGCTATTAGTCATCGCTGGAGAGGATCGGTGGAAGACTGCCGCTCCTTCTGGAGTACGTGTTTGGACAGCGATCATGCGTTGGTCCGAGCACGTATATGCCTGCGTCTCAATGGACGTAGAAAAAATTTGGCAACAAAACCACTACGAGTTCTGCTGGACAACGAAAACACCAAAGCCGTGTTCAGTGAGAAGTTGGCTAGGCAGTTATCGGAACAAAAGACTGTCACTCATCCAGAAGAAGCTTGGTGCCATCTTCAGTCTACTGTAAAAGCAGCACTGGAGACTGTAGCCGACTCCAAGATAATGGCTAAAAAGAGCCAGTGGATATCAGCAGCTTCTTCCAAACTAATGGATGCACGTGAATGCATCCCTGCAGGCTCTGAGTACAATGAAGAGCGAGCGCAACTTAAAAATAAACTGACGAAAAGTCTGCGCAACGATCGTGAACAGTGGTGGGCAGCAAAGGCTAAAGAGATGGAAAAGGCAGCGGCGATCGGTAACAGTAGACAGTTATTTAGACTTATTAAGGAGACTGGGGGGAAATGGTCAACAACAGTTAGTGAGGTTATAGCGGAGAAGGACGGATCGGCGATTCACTCGCAGGGAAGGCGACTGGGACGATGGGCAGAACACTTTGAGGAACAGTTTAACTGGCCTCCAGCCACCATTGCGCTGCCCGCTATCCAGTCGGACCCTGAATGGGACATAGAGACAGGTCCCCCAACACTAGAAGAAGTTGAGAAAGCGGTAGGTAGCCTGAAACGGGAAGGGCAGCAGGACCAGACGGACTACCTGCTGAGGTATACAAGAATGGTGGTAGAGTTCTCTTAGTCAGGCTAACGGAAGTGTTAGCCAGTATATGGGAATCAAATACGATCCCCTCCGACTGGTCTAAGTCACTGATCATCCCAGTCTTCAAGAAAGGCGAGAAGTCCTCTTGTGATAACCACAGAGGAATCAGCCTGACAAACATAGTGTCTAAGATCCTAAGTTCTATAATTCTCCGACGCCTGAGTGGAGCTCGGGAACAGCAAGCCCGAGAAAACCAGGCAGGCTTTAGACCTGGCCGTGGATGTATCGACCAAATATTCACACTGCGCCAGGTCCTGGAACATAGGCATGCTTACAGACGCCCGACAATAGCTGTATTTCTCGACCTGAAGGCGGCATTTGACTCCGTTGATCGAGAAGTCTTATGGCAGTGTCTGTCACTGAAAGGCGTGCCTAGTAAGTACATCACCTTATTGAAAGCTCTCTACTCGAACACTTGTGGGCATGTTAGAGCCTATGGTGAGTTGTCCAGGGAGCTATACTCATCAAGTGGTGTCCGTCAAGGATGCCCACTATCCCCATTCTTATTTAATTTTATCATAGATATTCTTATGGAGGTTTCCCTCTCGTCACCTAATTACAAAGACGTTGACCGGATCACAGGTGAATTTTCCTTAGATCTAGAATATGCAGATGACATAGTCCTGTTAGGTGAAGACGCTGACAAGATGCAGAGTCTTCTGAACACTTTGAGTGGGAATTTGAGAATGTTTGGGATGCGATTTTCACCACCCAAATGCAAATTTTTGCTCCAGGACTGGTCTTCAGCGGTACCGCGGTTAACA